TCCCCCCTGGGGGGTGATTTCTCGCTTTCTGTCTCTATGTCTCTCTCTGTCTGTCTGGTGAGCACACGCGCCCTATAGCGAAAACCTCTCAAAAAAAAATTTAAAAAAAAAAACAACCAAAAAAAAACAACGAATATGTCTCATCCTGTCAAAAATAGAAAAGCCATTGATTATTCCATTTCAGGAATCCAGCAGTGCTAATGAAGATTATGGAAGCAATTCAGGCTCTTCCACTAAGAAAATGTGATCATTTCCCTGAAAAACGAATAGAAGAGGTGATCTGGAAAGGATTCACAGGAAGATATTGCAGACTCAGAAGAGAAGATGTGAAGCCCAAGAAGGATGATTACTACCCATCAGAGGACAGTGAAAATGCAAAAGAAGATCAGAAAAACTTGGGTCAGCAATGGCAGGCAGCATCCAAAGCAGCTTCTAGATACTACTAGAAGGTAGTGAGGAAGATCAAGAGGATGAGGCATCCTTGAAGAAGAATTCCAGCAGTCATGAAGATTTCCAAATGGAAGACAATGGCAATGCACAAAAGAGAAACAAAATATGATTAAGAAGGCCAAAACCTGAGGACTAGCCGGTGTCATGGTGGTTAAGGTGCTGGACTCCCACATGGCTATCCACAGTTCGGGTCCTGGACCTGGTGGCTTTCTTTCTCACTTTCTCTCTCTCTCTCTCTCTCTGGTCAGCACACAAAATAATAAATAAAATTAAATAAATAATCCCTTTAAAAAAATGGCCAAAACTGAAATAAATGAAAAGAAAATGCCCGAATCCAGGATAAAGGCTACAGAGACACCAATTCTAGAGAAAGGCAACAGGGTCACCTGTGGGTTGCTCCACAGTTTCAAAAATATCAAGGGAAAAAGAGACACACAGAGAGAGGGAAAGTGAGAAAGCAATCCACTAGGTCCAGGACTTGAACCGTGGTAAGCCATGTGGACATGTCCAGCACCTTAACCACCACACCACCTGTTGGTCCCCCCATCCCTTTATTTTCTTTTAAAATTTTAGAGAACCATTTCATTTAATTTATTCATTCATTTTTTTTCTTTTTTAAAAAATTTGGCCAGAGGGGGAGAGAGAGAGAGAGAAAGCCATCAGGTCCAGAATTTGAACCGTGGTCAGTCATGTGGGAGTGTTCAGCACCTTAACCACCACGCCACCTGCTGGTCCCCTATCCTTTTATTTTTAATGGAAAGTATACCACATTCTCATAAAGCAAGAACACTTGAGGTGAGCACTATGGAAGCTTTGCTTTTTGCCACCCAATAACAAGTTGAGCAATAATCCAAAAAATGTAGAAAAGTTTTAGTTTAAAATGATTGTTTCTTTCTCTACTGGAACTTTCTTTTTTTTCTTTTTTCTTTTTCTTTTCCTTTTTTTTTTTTTTTTTTGGAGAGGTTTTTGCTATAGGGCGCATACGCTCGCCAGAAAGACTGAGAGAGACAGAGATAGAAAATGAGATATCATCCCCCAGGGGGGATGGCCACGCCACAATCCCTTCTCCTCCATTCTCCTCTCGGGATCTTGGGCACACACACACACACACACACGCCCGGCATGAGTTTAAGCCACCAGGTCTGGGACTCAAACCATGGTAGACTACACGGGAGTCCAGTGACATAGCCATTATGCTAACTGCTGGTCTCTCTACCTGAACTTTTAAAAAGTAAATGTTGAAGGCCAACAGGTAGCATCGTGGTTAAGGCATGGGTTTCCCATGTGGACCACCATAGTTTGAGTCTCAGACCTGGTGGCTTGAAACTCACACCAGGTGCAGGTGCGGGTGCGTGCCCACCCAAAATTCGGAGAGGAGAATGGAAGAGAAGGGATTTGGGTGCAGTCCTCCTCCTGGAGGATAATTTCTTGTTTCTGTCTCTTTGTCTCTCTCTGTCTACAGAGAGCACACACAACTTGTAGCAAAAATTTCTCTCAAAAAAAAAATCAAGTGTCATCTAGTATTAATGTCTGTATATACAAATATAAATGTCAAAAAAAATGACTTTAAATTTTCACTGATGAGACAGGTAAGAGATAGAGATGAATTCTAGGGACGAGTAGTTAGTGTAATGGCTATGTCGCTGAACTCCCATATAATTGACTGCGGTTCGAGTCTTGGACCCGGTGGCTTAAACTCATGCCGGGCGCGTGTGCATGTGTGCCCAAGATCCCGAGAGGAGAATGAAGAAGGGATTGGGGTGTGGCCATCCCCCCTGGGGGGGTGATTTCTTTCTTTCTGTCTCTCTGTCTCTGTCTTTCTGGAGAGCGCACACACCCTATAGCAAAAAAAAAAAAAAAAAAAAAAAAAAAAACACAAAGATTAATAGGTGATGAAATAAATAAATCCACACCCTCGAATAAGGTCAAGTACTTCAATTTCCCCCCTACCCCAAGGCAAAAAGTTTGAGTACTTCTAGCAACAATTTAGATTTTTTTTTTTTTTGGAGAGTTTTTTGCTACAGAGCACATGCACTCAACAGAAAGACAGAGAGACAGAAAGCAAGAAATCACCCCCCCCAGGGGGGGGATGGCCACGGCACAATCCC